CAAAATGCATGCTAAGAGCTGGAGAGATGGCTCAGCAGGAAAAGAGTACTCCTTGCTCTTCCAGAGGACCCAAGTTCAGTCCCCAGCAACCACACTGGGTGGTTCACAACCACCTGTAACTCCAGCTCCTGGGGGATCCAACACCTTTGGGCCAGTAAAAATTGGGAATGAGTACAGGGAGACCCTGTCTCAAAAAGACCAAAAAAAAAAATTGGAAATGAAAACATTTAAGTCCCTTATAATAGAATCCAAAATATAAAATTAGGGAGAACTCTAACAAAAAATGTGTGAAATCATTTGCTAAAATCCCCAAAACATTACTGAGAGGAATAAACAGCCCAAATAAAGCAATATACTATGCTCACTGATCAGATGATTGAACATTGTTAAGCCGTCAATTCTACCCCAGCTGGACTTTAGAAGTTCAGTGGAGGGAAGGCGGGATTACAAAGGCCTAGGAAATTTGGGGGCTGATACGCTGATTATCATTGTTATGATAAATTCACAGGTATGTAACATGCTAAAAGTTTATCAATTGCACACATTAAACAGGTGCAGTTTACTGTATGTCAATTATGTATCAATAAAGATGACTTTAAAATAGTAAAGGTGGGGCTGGAGACCTGGCTCAGTGGTTAAGAGCACTGGCTGCTCCTGCAGAAGACCAGAGTTCAGTTCCCAGCACCCACATGAGAGGCTAAAAACAATCCATAGCTTCAGTTCCAGGGGATCTGACGCCCTCCTCTGGTCTCTGCAGGTACTGCACACGTGTTGTGCACTCCCATGCAGGAAAAACATTCATACACATAATTTTAAATCTAAAAACAAAACAACAACAACAACAAGAAAAAAATCCATGCATGCCTATAACCCCAACTTTAAGTTCAAGGTCATCCTCAGGCACATAGCTATCAACCTTGTGGCCAGGCCTGGGCTATATGAGACTCTATTTTAAAAAAACAAAACAAAACAAAACCCAAAATCCACAGGAGGTGCAGAGGTAATCTAGATATTGGATTTAGTAGATAAGGACTTTAAAATGACTATGTATCAAGTAGGAAAGAAAACATTTAAAAAGTTAAAGGGACTGGGGGCTGGAGAGATGGCTCAGCAGTTAAGCGCGCTGGCTGCTCTTGCAGAGGAACTGGGTTCGATTCCCAGCACTCATATGGTGGCTCACAACCATCTGTAAATCCAGTTTCAGGGAATTTGATGCTTTCTTCTGACTGCCACAGGCTTTGCACAAGTGCACTTACACATATGCAGGCAATACACTCATACACACAAAATAAAATACTTTTTTTTAAGTTAAAGGGACTGGAGAGGGGGCTCAGAGGTTAAAAGAACTGGCTGCTCTTGCAGAAGACCTAGGTTCAGTTCCCAGCACCCACATGGTAGCTAACAAACATCGGTAGTAACTCCAGATCCAGAAGACACTCTCTTCCGGCCTCTGTGGGCACTGTGCACTCACATACATTCAGGCAAAACACTCATACACATTTTAAAAAGTTACAGCAAGCCTGGCGTGGTGGCGCACGCCTGTAGTCCCAGCACTTGGGGGGCAGAGGCAGGCAGATCTCTGTGAGTTCAAGGCCAGACTGGTCTACATAGTGAGTTCCAGGACAGCTGGGGCTACAGGGAGACCC